ATGAAAGTAATTTAGAGGATGTTGATGATAGCGAAAATATTTCTTTAGATTCTTCTGTAGATACAATTTTAGATAATCTTTTATCATTGTTTAACACTTCATAAGTTTATTATTATTTCATTAAAAACATTCGTTGAATTTTACAAATACAAAATAAAATTTTAAACTTTAAATTTGTTAATGATCGTCATTTAAAATTGACCAATCACAGAGAAAGCCCGCTATGCTGGTGAGTGTAGCATGAATAACTAATGAATGATTATTAGTTTAAAGAATTGTTCATATAGACATACTGTAATAAAGTGAATTTGGTTCGAAAAAAATATGTGATGGTTCTATAAAACAATCTTTCATTTTAAGTTAGCAACCCTAATTAGCCTTAAGAAAAAACTATGTATTTTTCCAGAATCAATTTCCAAATTTGGGAAATCTGTAATACAAATTGTTCTGTTTAAATTTTTATTCTTTCCAAATTTGCTTAAATTGCAAACTTAAGAATCCAAAAAGTGAAAATATTTGTTCTATAATATGAATGAATACACACTTTTAAAATTTAATAAATTTGAAGAATTATTAGTTAAGCACTAACATACGCGTAACAATGAAGTCTACCCTTAACATATTGATTTATTAACAGAAGAATAAATAATATGGTAAGAATATATACATTTAATGTTGGAAATAAATTTTATGGAGTTGTGTTAATATCTTAATGTTGGAGATTGGAGTTGTGTTTAAGCCTAATATGCCAGCCATTTAAATACACCTTCACATAGAATCAATCATCACATCAACATCTTTAATCAACATCCATTTCTTAACCAGCATTTTAAATTTTCAATTAATTTACAACATCAATAGCCCGCATATGTTTAGAACTTCAACATTTATTAATTTTTCTCTATTTAAGATTAAGTCTATATATAGACTTGACAATCATAGGTTTCGGAATCTGACTTGATTTCACATTATAATTATTATAATATATATAGCTTTGTGACTTTATTATTAATTTTTTATTTATAAATAGGAAGGGAAAAGCCGGAGAATAATTGCACTACAAAACGTATATATACATATAATGTTTATGAAAATACTATAACTAATAATGGAAAAATTTTATGGAGTTGTGTAATATCTTATTCATGAGATAATTTTGGGATTTGTGCACCAGATAAATCGCCTCATCAGCATCTTTGATCAACATCCATTTATTACTATTTCTCAACAATAAAAATAACCTCTTCAATCAGCATTAATAAACAACATCAATAACCACTTTAGAACCATCTGGTATGCCATATTGAACAATTTACCTTAAATGCTATATATCACACTTTCCAAAATCTCACAAATATAAGTGCCATATACATACATATAGACTTGATAATCATAGGTTTCGATGCTGACTCGATTTTGCTATAATATAAACTTTGGAACTTTATTATTTATTAAAATAGAAGTCCCACAGCAATATTTTAATGTTTCCAATTGAATTTACCAAACTTCATAAGACATTTTATCCAATGTTTTCAATAATTGATCATAGTTTTGATTCAAATGTATTATTATTAGATGAAATGGCAGAACAAAGAACAAATTCGCCGTAATCAAATGTAATCAATCAAAGGATTAAATAAATTATCAATTCATTTTTTCACTGTATATGAACCAACAACAAAAAAAACTTTAATAAATGATTTAATTACTTGCATAATAATAATGTTCGTGATCACCATATCCATCACCAAATGTATTCTCATCATCATACACATAATGATAACATCTTTACATAGCCAATCATCATTACCAATTAATTTCTGAATTTGATAAATTTTTTTTAAGCACTGCCCTTTAATTGAAAATAATTTATTTTTTAAATTTTTTAAATTCTTATATATAATAAAAATGTCTTGGCAATCATATATTGACAATCAATTGTTAGCTACAGGTAAAATAGCTCAAGCTGCTATATACGGACATGATAATTCTTTGTGGGCTACTTCTCCAGGATTCAGTGTATGTATTTGTTATTATTATGATTTAGTTAGTTTTTTTTATCACAGATAATTGTCAATTTATTGTTATCAACTTATTATTATCACTATTATCACCATTTGCTTATACTAATAATGCCGAGCACCAAATGTTGTTGAACTAATTTATTGTTGCCTTTTACTAAAGCACAAACTTTCAAGTATACATTTTTTTCAAAAATCAATCAAGTCTAATTAATGCATTTATTTTTTTAATATATTATTATAATTATTACTACTAGTTATCACCTGAAGAAGTTAGTACACTCGTAGCAGCTTTTGATAATGCTGATAAAATTCAAGCAAATGGTATATATTGTAATAATCTCAAATATAACATTATTGGAAGAAAAGTAAAGAAAAAAACATCAATTTCGATTTGATCGTTTAACATATATATATATATATATGTAAAATTAAATATTATACTTATATTTGAAATATTAGGGAAGTGATGGCGTAGTAATATTTAAAACATCAAAAGCTATTATTGTTGGAACTTATCTTGAAGGAACTGCACCTGGAGGAGCTAATAAAGTTGTTGCAGATTTGGGTGAATATTT